GGGGGCTCTGGTAGCATAGTCAAATTAAGGCATTTGACTGCTAACCAGAAGGCTGGTGGTTCAAACCCACCAGCCACTCCTCGGAAGGAAGATGAGGCAATCTACTTCCGTAGTGATACTGCCTCGGTAACCCAAGGAGGGGTCGCTATGAGTCTGGTCTGACTCGACAGCACATAACAACAACAACAACAACAACAACAAACAAGATGTTTCCTAATCATTTTCACCTTTTTATGCAAAAAAAGAAAAAAATACTCTGAAAGCAATGGTATAACAACTAATTACAACACAGCTTTATTTTGATATTCTGTATAGCCCATGTATGTGTCAGTTCACATCTCCTGAATTGTATAGAGTGAAACCACAGGCTATTACTCTTTTGCAATGCAACTTTAAAAGATATACTCTATAGCATAATGCCTAAGGCATTTGAATGCTAACTAGAAGGTTGGCGGTTCAAATCTACCAGCCACTCCTCAGAAGGAAAATTGGACCATCGACTTCCATAGTGATAGCACTTCGGAAACCCAAGGAGGGGTCACTATGAGCCGGATCCGACTTGACAGCACATAACAACAACAACATATACATCATTAGTATTTATTGAATCTTTCAATCTCGTCTTTTTGAGGGGAAAAGGAGTGTAATTCCTACAATTCTTCTCTTACACTTGCTTCAAAATAAGATAGGAAAATGTAAAATGTTAACAGCATATAAAGCAAATAATAAACTGGCTTGTATTTTCTTTAATAATCATTTTCAGACTCCACCCAGCACTTTAACTCAGCCATAAAATTCAGCTTAGAACAGAGCAGGAGAGAAATCTTTCTCTCAAACTTTCACTTGATAATTAACATCAAAATCCCCTGAAAATAACCTTTACCATTTTTTTTCCTGCCCCTAAACACACTACAGTATGCTGAGAATCCATTTAAATTCAATAATGTACAATGAGATTGAATACCCTTACTAATATTTGAGAGATTTAACCTGGCAGCAAAGTCCTAGATCATCCAGCCCTCCAAACAAATGTTTAATTAGGTTTGCAGTATGATTATATATATTTACTCATATATAATAGATGAGAGCTCTGGTGGCATAGTGCCTAAGGTATCTGACTGCTAACCAGAAGGCTGGCAGTTCAAACCCATCAGCCACTCCTCAGAAGGAAGACTGGGCAATCTACTTCCATAGAGATACTACCTCAGAAACCCAAGGAGGGGTCACTATGAGTCAGGATTGACTGGATGGCAGTGAGTTTGGTTTTTTGGTTTTTAGGGCTCCTCTGAGTTTATTAGCGATTGTGGTAGTTAAGTTTGTGTGTCAACTTGGCTGGGTCTCGTTGAGTGGCTGGGCAGCTGGATGTAGTGTATTTCCCATGATGAGACCAGTAATCAACTCCATGGTGGAATATACTGTGAGCAGCTGAGTAGCTGCCTCAGGAATGTGATCTGCATCCTGTATGTAGAGAAGCCTTGGGGAAATGGTCTCTAACTTCTGGCATGCTTGAACCCTGCATGTACCCATTTTGTCGTTCAGCAGCCTATTATGCTCTGCTGACCCTGGGACTTTCAATGGACTTGAATTAATGGCCTGCTGTGTGGTTTGCCAATATTGGGACTGTGCCTTGTGACTTGTCAACCTTGGGCTTGTCAGCTTCAGCAGCCAGTAGCTGAGTGAAGAAAAGCCTCCAGCTTCAGTGGGCCAGGAGCAGTAGGCAAAGCTGAAGCCCAAGATTGAGGGGCTTTCACCCAGCCCCTACAGCCTGGCACTTGAAGTCAGACTTAAAGCCTCCAAACTGTTAGAGAATAAGCTGTTTGTTAAGACCATCCCATTTGTAGTATACTCCTATCAGAGCAGCACTGTTGTAGTTGTTGTTGTTTGCCGTCCAGTCGGCCCCGACTCATAGCGACCCCTCCTTGGGTTTCCAAGGCAGTATCACTACGGAAGTAGGATTGCCCAACCTTCCTTCTGAGGAGCAGCACTAGGTAACCAAAACAGTGGTGATAAAAATCAATAAACAGACAATATCCATGTAGTAAGATTAAATATTGTTTGTGGAACTTGTTTCCTTTACATACATTCACTAGATTGTAGTCAACTGAGGTAGAGAATGCATTTCTTACTGAGGATTACAGTCAAAAAAAGTTTCAAAAACACTAATACTGCTGATGTGTGCCTGCCAACCAAAAATCTAGAGTATTGAAAATAGATGGATGCCCCTTCTTAAAATATATATTTAAGCCAACACAATGAAAGCTCAGAAGCCTAAATTATGTTGTCTATGTTGACTCAAAAAATTAACTGTGGCTCTCAAATACCAAGAAAGGATTAAAATTCTCAATCCACATGGGATCTTCAGTACATATGTGATCCACAGTAAGAGGAAGGGAATGGTGGCCTCACTGAGTCTCCTTGGAATCAGACATTATTTGGAATTAAATAGGAATTAAGGTAAATCAGAGCTAAAGTAAGAATAGTTGACCATTCTGTAATTACAAATATCTTACAAACCATAAAAAAGAGAAAAAGATAAGCATCTTATGATAAGAGAGACTGTGGGTGGTGAAAAGGAAAGATAATATGAGCCATGAGTCAAGTCACTGGACCAATAATCCCATCTCTACCACTAGATTGGAGCTCTGGTAGCATAGTGCCTAAGGCATCTGACTGCTAACCAGAAAGCTGACGGTTCAAACCCATCAGCCACTCCTTGGAAGGAAGGTTGGGCAATCTACTTCCATAGTGATACCGCCTCAGAAACCCAAGGAGGGATTGCTATGCATTGGTCAGACTCCAGGTCCGACTTGACACTATGAGTCGGGTCTGACTTGATGGTATATAACAACAACCACCACCACTAAATTGCTGGGTGAACGGATGAAAATATCCTTCTTGACTTCAGTTTATCACAAAGCACATGGGTTGGCAGGATCTCCAAGAGGAGAAGGGTAACCTCACTATGTTAGGGCTAGAGAAGAGTCCTGATTTTTTAAATGTGTCATTAGCTATTAATTTAGGAAAGATAAGTATTATTTTTCCTATTTTACAGATAGATTAATTGAGGCATGCTCATTATACGTCTCTCTAGATGTGCAGTAAAAGCCTAACAACTACTGGCCCCATAACCAGTGGAGATTAAATTAATATTCTAGACTCAGGGAACAACACCTATACCTAATTTTTGAATGTATTTAGCACATTTATTTCTCTGTATGGTGACAAGAGTAAGAGGCAAGTGAGGTTCTTGAGAAAACCAGAAAAGCACTGGTTGAAAATATAATTAACAATTATGTCCTATTATGCTGTGGTTCACCTTTTAATTGCACCTTTTTAATTGTATGTGTTGCCTAGGGCATTTTAAGTTAAACATATGATTTAAAATACTTTAAAAATTTGCAAAGATAGAACTAAACAAATCTAAGCAGTTGAAATGCCACTTACTAGTGATTTTATGTAAAAAGGACTTGTTAAAGCAATATGCAAAGAAAGAGGCTAAGTACAAATGAACAGCTGAGAGTGTTTAAACCTACATGTATGTCAGATTTCAGATATTAAAAGTAAATTAAATGTAAAGAAGTCTAATTATAGGGTATACTTTAATGTCATGTATTTTAGCCACAAAGCAAACTTTACACAGTAAAAGAAGCAGCAGATTTTCCTACAACTAGAAAGTGTCAATTAGGATCACTAGATTTTCCATTTTAAAACAATAGAATTTATTTGAGCTTATGTGAATATCTTCAGTATGTAGTTCAACTTCTATAGTAAATGATGGTAGCTTAACAACGTTTTCTAAAGAGCAGAAAACTTGGTAATTTGATGTGGTTCTAAAAAACAGAGATGCTTTTTTGGGGACTAAAAGAAGGAAATAAAAGGCTAAGGTAAGCACCAGTTTCACCCTTAATTTTTAGGCTCCAGAAAAGCCTAATCAGGCAGGGAGAGGAATTTGGGCCTGGCACACCCAGGTTCAGACGTGGCAGGATCCTGAAACAAAGTTTTTTTGAACCTTTTGAGTCATGCCACAGGCAAACCATAGCCTCGATATACAGGTCCTTAAGTCAACAGGGCTGGAGCCTGGTGGCACAGTGGTTAAAGTGCTCTACTACCACCAGCCGCTCCGCGGGAGAAAGATGAAGCAATCTGCTTCCATAAAGATTTACAGAGTTGGAAACCCTATGGGGGCAGTTCCACTCTGTCCTATAGGGTCTCAATGACTGGAAATCTAAGAGAGGGCCATGGGTTTGGGTTTGTTTTTAAGTCAACAGGTCCGTTAATGAGCCAGTGTGCGGTTGGTGTGTGGCAGTTGGATTTCCTTTTGCCACGAAGAAAATAACTCTTCCCGATCAAACCGGAAAGTGGGCGCTGCGCTGGTTTAGAAAGAGCACCAGGAAAAGTATAGAGAGCAGACGAAACAGAGGCAGAAAGAGGGATGTCCTCGTCCCGACCACAGAGTGCTTTCCAAACCGCTCGGAAACCATTTAAATGGCTCGGGCGGCCGCGGTTTCCAGCTCAGGACTGTCTGGGGTCCGGCTGGGAAAGTCGCCTGGCAAAGCCATGCCCTTCCTTGTAACGGGCATGGCCCTCACCCGCCCCGGGGTGGGAGGCGACGGGCAACCTGTTAGTCCCAGTGGAAGCGCTGCCGCCTCGCGCTTGGGCCCCTCTTCCAGCCCCCATTTGCGACACTCACAAGTACGGGTCCGGGGCCACCAGGACTTTGGCCCAGGTCCGGCTCCTCTGGAGCCTCCTTGCAGGGACAGACAAGCGGCACCGCGGGCAAAAGGGTCGGCAGGGCTACCTCCGGGTGCCCTCTCCCCTCGACCCCTACTGCCCCTTCCTCCTTTCCGCGAGGGCAACTGCAACTGCTCTCGAGACCGTCTCCAACCGGCCTCCGGGACCCTAGCTCTCTCCCCAACACGTGAATCTCCGCGGCTGTCCCACTACCCCCTCCACGGCTGCCCGGGGGCTACTGATCCCCCACTCCCGACTCGCTGGCTTACCTGACAGGTGGGCAGGGCAGAACTCAGGAAGCGGCGGCCGAGCGGGCGCTGGACGTGGGCCGGGCGCCAGGTGCAGGTGGCGGCGGCGGCGGCTCGGGTTGCTGTCGCTACAGTTGCTCTCAGTTGAGCTCCTCCTCTGCCTCCTCCTGCCTTCCCGCAGGGCCTCCCGCGTTGCCAGGAGAGGCCGAACCGAGGCTCCGCTTCCTCTTGGAGTCTCCCAGGTGAGCTCCAGTCTGCGACGTCGGCAGGGGCGAGGCCCCCGTCCCGCGCCTGCGCGCCAGCCTTCTGCCCCGCCCAAGCCTTACCTGAGAGCTCCAGGTAAGAACCTGGGACCTTGCAAAGCGGAGAGGGGGAAGGGGAAGCGGTCCAGATCTGGCCCGGCGACCGCGCAGATTCTCTCTCTCCGCAATTCTCGAGACTAGTTCTCCGCACGAGTCTTGTCTGCCAGCCCGCCTACATTTGAGGATTCCTACACTGACCTGGTGTCAGTGGTCACCTTGTACCCAGAACACACAGGTCTGAGTAATCGGGGAACCAGAAGATCTAAATCTGCCGGCTCCTCACTTCTTCCCTTACACTTCAGTTCGCCAAAATGAGGAGGCGAGCTGCCTGAAAATTGCGAGTTTCAGTGCCTCCGAGGACCACTTCATGAGAGCAGCAAGTGTTGGCCCATGTGGTTTCCTCGGGCAGGGTTCAGCAGCTTCTGTCACCAGTTAGGTTCGTAAGCTGTTGGGTGAGCTTCCTTCTCAAAGTGTTGATTTCATCACTGACTCACTTCAGCGTAGCTAGTGGTTTCCGTTTCTTTTAAGTAAGCAGGCGCTTTGGTAGGGGCACCTCACGTCCAAAGGAGGAGCCCTCCTCCTCCAAAGAGAAGAGCCTCTGGTGTTTGGCAGAGCTTTGCCAATTTGGGGAGCACTCCCCTTCCTGGGCTGCTGTCTAAAGGCAAACCAATTCCCAGATGGAAAGAAAGCAGCGACAACAGAGAGAAACCCGCTGTCCTTGTTTGAGAAGAGACTGTGGTTTCCTGGAGAATGCAAGCTTCTACTGTAGGTTTTCTTAAAAGCTCAAAATCTATTCTGGCAGGTGAGAACTCAGACACTTGAAAGATGGTGGTTTTTATCGTTGTTTTTAAGACAATGTTTAATATATATATATATGCACACACACACACACACACATATATATATACTTTTTTCCTTTTATGATATTTAAAAAAAAACTTTCAGTTTCAGCCTTTCTTCTAGTATGACAAACATTGTCACACCCTAAACCAGGACTTAAAATGACCTTTATAACTTCCTGTGAATTCATTCGTTTATTTGGCTCTATCTCCAATGTACCTAGGAATGTAAATAGAGAAGTAGCTGAAAAGTTTTTAGTGGAGTGCTTAATTACTTAGCGGCAGATTTTTGTATAAGGTTTATCTCTGCCCTTCTTCCTGCATTTTGACACACATTTATATAGTACTTGTGTATCGGTGAGTGAGTGTTATGTGTGACCTAAAAGTAAGGCTTAGAAACATTGTTCAGCACAGTATCAACAGGTGTAGCTTTAGTACTTGGTGAGTCAAAGATACTGGTTTTAGCATCCATAGTACTATTTCATACCATACCTATGAATTGGGTCTAAAATTTTGTTTAGTTTGTAATTTGTTTATTTTTGTATATTGTGGTTATTTGTGTTTTGTGGTAGTTCAGTATCAGTACCAAAAAGCAATTTTTAAATTCCACCCCCACCCAAAAAAAAAAGTTTGAGAGGTATTTATGTATATTACTATACAAAGTTGGTAATGTGTGTTTTTAGGTCTAGAGCTCAAAACACTGACTTCTGAAAATGCCCTCTTCTTAGAGGTTCTGCAAATTTTTTTGTTGTTTTGCCTTTAAAAGGAGATTAGAGTGGTAGTCTTTGGGAATTTGGGAGAAATTCTAAATGTATAACCAAGAAATCTGTATCCTGTTCCAATCCATACTTTGCAGGAGAAAGATGAAGCAATCTGCTTCCATAAAGTCTTACAGCCTTGGAAACCCTATGGGACAGTTCTACTCTGTCCTATAGTGTTGCTATGAGTTGGAATCCACTCATTTTTGGTGTTTTTTGGTTGTCTTCCACCATCCATCAATAAATGAGGCAGGAGCCAAAGATTGTCAGAATGTTAGTTTCCCACCAAGTGAAGAGCAACAATTTTCACTGGCAATCAGGACAGAGTTAGCAATCTCCACTCTAAGGACCAAGGTGCATTGACAGCAAGACTAGTACAGACAAATAACAACTCAAAAGAAAAGCTAAGGCAGATCTATAAAAGCAGAGAGCCAGTTAATAGGGCCAAATGTTGCATGAGAAGTAAAAAAATAAAAGAAAAATATATAAAAATGACCAGATGTTACTAAAAATTGACTATTAGTTTTACAATGGAGACAGATAATATAAAAAAGGAAAAGTAATATTACTGAGTCAGATAAACCTACCAATTTATATTTACTATTTCAAATCATTCTGAAAGCAAATTTTTAAATTAATGAAAATTTTTCTATTTCACAATGTAATTAAAATGCTTCAGGCCTAGGGAAAAAATATATGTAGAAATGTTTAATGCCCTATACCTAATCAGTTGAAGAGTTTTTTGAAAGTACCATTCTATTCAAAATTATGAAATAAGGAATTTGCTTTATAAAGGGGAAATTAACATTTCATCATAAAATAAAATCCAGAACTCTGAATGTAGAGCTGCTTCTCATAAATAAGCTTATTTTAGTAGTATATGTTCAGTATATAATGGCAGTTAAGATAGAAAATTGAACAGGTTTTATACAAAAAAGAAGAGAGGCCAACATGTCTACATATACATAGAAAGAAACACAGGGCCAGCCACAAATGACACATTTATATAGATTAGAAACAATACTATTATTGTTATTATTTTAATGTAGTAATAACGTTAATATTATTCTATTAATGATATTATTCTGTTAATAAATGCTAGGAACATTACAGGGCATTTACTAGGTGCCCAATAAATTTTTGCTAAATGAATGAATGAATCAAGTAAATACCATTAAATACAATTAACAACTCAATATGCATAGTATCTTGAGCAAATCACAGGTCCGAAGGATGTTTAGCTGAACAATATGGAGAAATTATTTGGAGCACGTAAGAATAATGCACTGGGAATCTGAAGGACATGGTTGAAATAACAATAGCTATCAGTTCTCAAGTACCTATGTTGTATTGGATTATGCAAAGCAATTTACACTCACACAAGTGACTTTACCTCTCTGGGTTTAACTTTTTTTTTCCATAAAATAAGCTAGTGGCACTAGGTGATCTCTGAGCCCTTTTATACTCTTGATTCATGTGAACTCTGTGCCAAGAGTCTTGTCATGCAAAAACAAAAACAAAACACTTTTTGGAAATAATAACAATAAGGCATAGAAAATAAAAATGGAGAAATTGAAATTACTTAACTGATACCAAATTTCTAATCCATAAAATTTTATTGTAATATGTATGTAACAAAATTGTTCACATACACTAATCCTAGCTTTAAACATTTTGTTTGTTAACTATTTAATTGCTGGCTACCCAGGCCTTAGCAATTTTAGTTTGAAACATACTACCTGATTTAGCTTTTAAAAAACAGTTTTGCCTTATGTGGGAACTGGAGTCTAGAGTTAAGATGTCAAAGACCAAATAGACTGAAATAATTTCTACCAAAAAGAAGTAAAAGAATTGAGAGTCTATTGATTCAGAAGGAAAAAAGTGCTGATGTCGTACTGAAGAGCCACAAATATGGAGTCCTTTTTATAACAATTCAGCATAATCCAACATTGTTCTGTAAATATTGTAAGAATTAAAAGATTGAAAACATGAATAGATAATTTTAGTATGAACTTTTGGGGGCCATTGATTTGCATGAGCATTGCTTATGGTATTTTTAATTTTTTCCCCTGCCCTGAAGAGTATCATTAGAACAGAACCTGGGAGTTTCAAAGAAGTACAAATTTCTATGAGGGCACTTATTGGCTTAAATTGCAACAGAGTTATATCTTGTTAATTTTGTATCCTTAATGCTTGGCACATAGTAGGTACTCAATAAATATTTGATGAAATGGATTGAATAGAGTACAGAGTTTCGAGCTTTTAAGCATTAGCATAAGAACAGAAAGGGATACCATGCTGAGTCAGGCTAATATTCCATTTAGCTAGCTCTAAATTCTGACAATGGAATAAAGGATACTTTGAGGGAAAATGTGGTGAAAGTCCTGCACAATGTTGACCTCAAAGCTGCAGTACTTTAGGTACCCCTGACTCACTCTTTTCCTTATTTGATCTCTTTTACTGTAAATTTTTTTTGTTATTACAATTTGTGTATATTACAGAAAACACAGATAAATGGAAATAAACCAGTTTTGAAATACCCATAATTCTCCATACCAAGAGGAAACAGTGCTATTCAGTTTTGTTTCCCTGCATATCTTTCCATATATATATATATATATATATATATATATATAATTGAAAAGTTGGGAGCATAGGATAGACAATAGGAAGAGAGACAGAGATATAATAGTTTTTAAAATAAAAAATTGTTCATTTTTGTGGCTTGTTTTGTGGGCAGACTTTTCTACTTAATGTATCTTTCCATGTCAATAAATTCATTTTTTAGCATTCCTTTTTTTTTAAACTTATTATTTTGATTTGAGTGAAAGTTTACAGAAAAAAAATTGGTCTTCCATTCATACAGCATTATTTTTAATGGCTGTATAGAATCCTTTTGTATGGATATATTAATGAGTCACTTAATGTTGGACAACAAAGACCACTTCCAAATTTTGATCTTACAAACAGTGCTGGGATGATCACACTCTACCTTCCTGTGTTAAAATATTTTCTTCTAACTAATTTAAATAGGCCACCTTGTGTCAATCATCTAAGATCCTAAGCCATGAGCATATCAATAGAAGCATCTTATCATGAAGACACATAGCAGAAAAACATGTTTACAACTTATCATTACTATTTGTAAAAATAGTACTTCCGGTTACTAGAGCTTTATGTAAAGGATTCTTATTATAATCAAGACATTAGAACTTTAGTCGTGGAAGTAGAACACACCAATTATTTTAGAAAAGTCAGATTATTTTCCCTCCCCTGACTATACCAAACTAAGTTTCACATTTTTGAAAATCTGTGTATCTTTTGACATGCTTCTGTTACCTGTCTAACCAACACAATGTTATATCATAGTCTCCAGTGAAACTTACTTCACAATCA